GTTATTTTACGGTGATAATCTTGTTTTCTTGTGCCCAATAATGCATAACTTCATTTGATAAACACGTTTAGATTGAATGGTAATTTATAATCAGTCACAGGAACGTCGAATCTGAATCACTTGAAAAAAACACGGGGGTGCTTAACTTTTTTCCAGGTGTATATGTAATTAACGTAACAAGATTTCATGTTGCATTTTAATTAACAATTTTATCAACCCAATGAATTAATGTAACATTAATTTGAGTAAAAATTCACAGGGATTTTATTTGCTGATTTTGCATTACTCATGAGGATGATTTTCATATGAATAATGATTTTATTAGAGAATAAATCCTTTTTTAAACTTTAATTAGCAGAAAGCAATATTTTTATGAAATAAATGAAGGGTATGCCATCTATTGACAATTAAAAAAAGCCCTAAATTACATGTTTTTAGCTAAACATAGCTGTTTTTGTACTTGCGACATATACTTGTAATGATTAAAAGGATAATTTTAATTTTATTTTTAGATTATTGAAGGAGTTTAAAAATGATGGAATGATCCCTCCTGGATTGTACAAATACCCGAGAGCAATGGATCAACGTTAAGGGAAATTTAGAAACTTCATTTTCCCTCTCCACCCCAACCCACTGTGTATGCATACAAGGAGACAGACCACTTTCCTGGACCATTGTCACTTAATAGGGTAATTTGTAAATAATTTGAATATTCTGAGAATAAGTGGTGAAGATTAGTTTTTGTGAATTTCGTGCAAAGTTAGCCGTTCTTAATTTAGCTGTAAAACACTAGAGGGAAGGCAGCTAGTCATCACCACCCACTCTTGGGCTACTCTTTTACCAATGAATAGTGGGATTAACCGTCACATTATAACACCCCCACGGCTATAAGGGCGAGCATGTTTGGTGACACGTGAATTCGAAACCCGCAGAGTGCGAGTCGAGCGCCCCTAACCACTTAGCTGTGGTGGGGCTCAGGAATAGATTAGATCTAATTTTAGATTGATATAGGAGGCCAGTAAAAAAGGATAGGTTCCTTAAGGACAGTACAAGGACCACGGAACACTGGACCAACATTAAGTGGAACTTAGAACCCATGCTTTCCAGCTTCACTCCATCTCACTGCATGCATACGATGACACAGACCACATGCCAGGGTCGCGTCATTTAATAGAGGACACCATTTGGTTTTGATATATGACATCACGCATGCCCACACAGCTGCCAGGCTCAGCCCCTCTAAAGATTTGAATTAAAATATCATAATTTAATGTTTGTTATAAATGAAGAATTAAGATAAGTATTTCTTTATTTAATTTCTTATTGTTACTTTAAGTCTAGTTACATATATTTTATTTATGCATTGAAAATACTTTCATTGTGATAACATACACCTAGTGTTTAAGCTTTGAATTACATTCAGGAAAGAAAATTATCAATTCTTAAAATGTGGTGCTGTTAAATTCAACTTTTCATTTAGTCCAACATGTAGATGATTTTCAGTGAGCACATTACAAAAACAGATGAACAACTATATGTAATGTTTTTTTTTTCTTGTCATTAGTTCCAGATTTAAGGATTAACTAGTTAAATACAATCTGTGTTAACATTTTGATCAGAATGCATGAAGTTCAATTCTGAGGAAAAAGGCACACTTGACAAAAGATGACATATTAGTATATTCTGATTGAAGAGTAAAGGATGATACTTGACCATGACACTTTTAGTATGTTTCACCTCTGAGTATGGTGACATATTAGTATATTCTGATAGAAGAGTAAAGGATGATGCTTGACCATGACACTTTTAGTATGTTTCACCTCTGAGTATGGTGACATACTAGCATATTCTGATACAAGAGTAAAGGATGATGCTTGACCATGACACTTTTAGTATGTTTCACCTCTGA